TTGCCTTGGTAACTCTGCTCAGATAATAGCTATTGATTCTGGTAATTTCCTTGGAATTTACAAATCATCAACACTTTTTCCATTTTCTCATTATGCATTACCAAAGACTTGTTTACACCATATTTCATCATCAGTTCATTGTGAGCTAAAAACTGGACTTCAACACTTATCCACAGTCATAGAGTTATACCTTTGACTGTATCCAATAGTCAATGGTTATACGTAGAGAAAGTTTTGTTATGTAATTTCTAACTTTTCAATTTGAAAGTTACACTCTCTGCTGATACATAATTAAGTTTGATAAAAAGTTATGAGTAAATTTCATGACAATTTGTAATCAGGACCTATGTCAATAGGGGTTTAGGTCAATCAGTACAAAACATTTACCTTACTTTCTTACTCAGTACCAAGACTATACAGTTTCATATACTAGCTGATGTACCCGTGCTTAATATGTTTTACCCTGACTACTGAACTTTTGTAAGGGAATCTTTACCCACAGCTCATCATGTAAATATCACTGTAAGCAAAACTAAAATAATGGAAAACTGGGAACGTTTTGTTAGAAATCCAACCCCTCCTATTATTGTTCATCAGGACACTAATTCCATCAATTTAAATAAGAAATCAACAACATAATACACAACAGTTCTTTTTACTTTCTCCCCCTATAGACGACCATGAGACACCAATATGAGGTACCCTCCCCCCTGTGGGAATTTATGACTTACGCTTTTTTTTTTTTTTTTGTTAGTATTACCAAAGATTACATATGCTACGCAAAATCTCTCTATACAAACAGTTTCTAAAAGCAATCATAAAATTTGAGACATCAAAGGGCTGTTGATGGTACACCAACAGTATTCAATATCAATTTTGGTTCAGTGAAAAGGTTTTTATCGAGCACAAATGTTAGATTAAATACATCCACTCAACATTTATTTGTTCCAAAAACTGTTTTGAAGGCTTTGAAAACATGTTCAAAGTGTTTGTTGTGGTTGATCCTCTGCTGTATGATAAATCAAACACAATTTATTGGCAAACGATTCTGCAACTCAGTTGATTGATGTGTATGTCCGAATCATAAATTGTGGATTTGAAGCAGTTTTAAACGCATGAAAATTTATAAGATTATGAACCATCAATCAACTTAGTTTACTAGTTATTTACAAACCACTCAACAACATTTTGTTTTGGAGATATTTAGTAGTCTTATTTATTACGTACTGTGTCTCAAAAATAATTAATCAAATCTACAGCCTAATATAAGTCATAGAACCATAGAAAAGTCAACTGTAGCTATAATTTAAAAAATGGCACCTTAAAGGTTTTTTTTAAAGTACCCTTCAACTGTTGATGTTACAGTAATTAGCTGTTCCATAAATGTTGGCACGTTTGAATTTTTAAAACATACAGTTCCAATGTAGAGCAGTTGAAAGCTCAGTGTCAAAAATGGATTAATAGAGACAAAGTATGTGATGTGATTTTTTTGTCTAGGGGCTTGTGAAAGACCAAGTGTATCGATTACTGACCTCAAACATGGTAAACTAAAAGCAAAGATGAAGCAAAGGGAAGCCTTTAGAAAAATATCTTATGAAATATACCAACAATTGTTAGAGCTGGAATACTGACTTGACTTTCTTTGAGCAGATAACAGAGAACATGTAGAGGTTAGGCGGTGAAACCATGGTAGGAAAACTTATGAAGTTAAGAATAAAACTGTATATAAAGCTAACTTTTTTTTCTTTAATAATGTAGTGTTTATGCCAGTTCAATTTTGATCCATTCTTTTCGGGACACAAGGTATAACGTTGAGCGTGTTAAGTTTAGTTTTTATTTCTTGTTATTCAATCAAATCCAAAACATGTAAACCAAATGAAAAATAATTTGTGTGTAACATTTCTTGATAATAAACCAATAAATCACTGTAAAATCATCATCAGCATCATTACAATAGAATACAAAGTGTTCTGGTAATATTCTAAGTCAATGGTCTTTACTAAAGATGTATAAACAAATCACATTTTGTTAAAAAATATATTTTTCCTTATTAATGAAAACCCTAACCCCCCGATTTATTTACCAAAGTAGACTTCTGATTTAAAACGTTTGTGTCACACTAAACAACAGTGCTAATGCAATTACATGGGTATTAAGAGACTTTATAATATATTAAAGAATTCCCTAGCTGTTGCTCAACAGGAAATATCTTTGTTTGGACATGGTTTAGTTCTTGTTTCTGACACCATCATCTACCGGTGTTTTATGTTGTTTTTTTTTACACAAAATATCTTTTAAATTATTTACATAATTATGCATGGCATTTTCAAGATTTTTTCAACAAGTTTTGTAAATTAAATATATTATTTTTTGAGAGAGAGAAATGCAAGAGGCGTCTACACAATTTTCAACCACAGTTCAGTAAATTTTTAGCTTTAAATTTGAATAGTGGAATCCCTACAAAATAAATATAAAATTTAAATTGACTTAAAAATGCTGGTTCCATAAATGAACATAATATACAGTGTTTAACTTATAAACTTCTCTAAAGATTTATCATTGTTCCACAACAATGTATTCAATAAAAATGAATTTATGTAACACATTTTTGTTACGTTAAACAACTGAATTGAATCAAGAAGTTAAGATAATCAGAGAATTTAACAACAGACAAGGAGTAAAAAGGAGTGAAAGGAGAAAAAATTTACAATACTTAATACTGTATAAAATTGTATTCATGTTAGAGAATCTTGGTAATATTTACAATGTAATAAATAGTATAAAAGAATACAATATTAAATATAAATATATTTACATATTCAAACACTGATAAATCTAAGTAAAAAAATACAGCTATAAACTCTTATCTAGGATTTACAAATATATTAAATTAAAAAACTACCAGGCTTTTTCCTTGTTTTTTAATTTAATTGTTTCTTTTAAAGTTATTGATATGCACTATAAATAAATATTTATTGACCAAATGAGCTAACAGAAATTCTCAAATAGAATCCCTTTTAACAATTTGAATAATCTGATCTTGATGTTGATATTTTACAAAGGTAAGTACCTACCAATTCCTTTGAAAGGATGATTTTTTCCGAAAACTTTACTAGTTTAAACATTTAGAACGTAGGTTTTCAATGAGCTTTAACTCCCTATTGAACCTAAAATGTCAAAAAATGTCCAGCAAATGAATATATAAAACTAAGAAAAAACTAATTAAACATATACTGGAAATATGACTAGATTAATTTCAACTGTAGAGTCAAAATCTTTCTCACAACAGTTCATTATTTTAGCTGTCAGAGAGTATATAATAAATAAAATAGTTGCAATACATTCATTTGTTCTGTTTAATTTAATATTAAAATTAATTTTCATGGACAAATAAAAAAATCATAAATATGAAGTTTCAAATATAAAGTTTTAAAATTATTAACAACCAATGTATAAAACAATTCATAACTATTCTAAAGTAGTGATGTACAAGCTTTACATAAATCTCAATTTACAATTTTTAATACCTAAAAATAAAATAATAAAAAATTATTACTATGTACAAAGAGTTTATGTTACTATTTGGGTAGATTTTTTCAAATTAAATTGCCCCTCATAAAATGGGGAATAAAATCGATTATGGAAAGATTTGTTAAATAAATAATAATAATAATAATAATAATGAAACAATTTTACTTGACTCGATTATGGCGCTCTATTACCCACACTAGTTTTCTAATACCATTAACAACTGACATGGTTACATTTTATAGGCCTATAATTGTTTAAAATGTGTTTCTGCACTAAACAGAAGGCCTACGCTTATAGTAAATGTGTACTTGATGGCGTACATGAATAAATACACAACTGTTATTACTGTTATTGTAAACTGGTATTATGGTTATTGTAAACTTCCACTAATTGCCTTTTATGAATGCTTGTGTAGTAATATTTGTATAAATAATAAACCACAATTACAAAATAATTTAATTTTGATTATTTGTTTCCAGACTTTGTGTTTTCTACTATCATATTAGTGATTTATAAAATCCTGTATTTGATGCATAAAAAAAAGAATACTATAAACAAAATTCTTGTTCTTAAAATGAAATAAAGTGAAACAAAATACATTATATTAAATATTTTCAAACAAAATATAAACCACAGCTATATTTTTTAAAACAGTCTTATTACTATCAAAATATGTTATTTTCTTCACAAATTTCCAGCAATTAATTATCCTTCACATTAAAAGCTTTCAGTACAAGTATTATGTACTCCACCAAATACACAAAAAAAAACATTTAAAAATTCATTTTTATTTTGTAGGAGAACACAAATATTTGGTAGTGTTTGGTCTAAATTTGCTCCACCAAACACTTTCACCATTGCAAGTATTTTACAAAATTTTATCTGTATATTCCATAAAGATTTTAATTACTAAAATTAATAATATTTTACAACTCACTCTGAACACATTAAAACTTATTACAACAATTTACAGGGTGTTTTGTTTACACAAGATGTATACAAACCACTAAAAATAATACTGAATCCTTCAACTTTTAAGTGCATCAGCTCAATGAAATACAGAAGGTATTGTGTTTGGCAAAGTATGAGTGAAATAATTAAATATGTTGGAATGATATGTCGATGATGATCTAGGTAGCAGTGTGACTGATAACAGAGTTGCTCATAAATACTAGAGGTAGCGTGTAGAGTATGTATAGATGTCACAAAGGAAATGTATTTCAGAAAGAAGAGACCTAATTTTCATTACAATAAAACCTCTTCTGACAGCACCCTGTTCAACCCAAACCCAGATTAACTGAAACTATGGTAAAAAATTCAAATCAGTTGAAAAATTAGCTGGGCAAGAGAAATTGTTTGCTTTTGCATGAGTCTGGGGGTCTGGCATGGTAAGCGGAATGTAGTCAAGCATATGATGACAATGATCTCATATTGTGATAAGAAATGAAGTATAAAAAAACAAATGATTATTTTGAAAAATCGATTTGATATAAAGTTGTCGATTTGAAGATGACAGGAAATAAAATAATGTAAAAAATCACTATTGTGGATTTTTTAAACCAAAGTAGCCTTTAAATTCCATTCATAGATTTCCTGGGAAAATATATTATCTGAAAATGGCCTTGCACCCTTCAGTTTGTTGCGGTTTTATTGTATTTGCATCAATTTGCTTATTAACAATCGCTACCTATAGTATTAGAGACTCGTTTGCAAACAGATTATGAAGAAGGCTATGGCAGTGTTTGATCACAGCTCGAGATTTTAGGTTATGTACTATACGATCAACTAGGTAGAGGACACGAGCTTAACAGTATGTTATGCAAAGACGTCATCGTCGTCCAGTCTTTTCTCTCCCCACTGATTCTAACGTTACGAATGCAGCCTTTGAAGTTTTCCCTCGACTGCAAAGTTCCGCTGGCTGCATTATCTGCAAACCAGAAATACTGGTCTAAAACAATGCACATCACAAGAGAATTACATTGTGGTTATTGCTACTTTGGTTAATTATATTAAAGCAACCAGCAGTGTATTTGTAGCATGGCAAGTGTGTATCTCCGTCCAACACCTGACTAAAATTACATGCACAGCCAAATTACATTATTTTTACACCTTACTCTAAGTCTAAGATATTCCATCACCAAATTTTAGATGTGTTCAGCTAAAATTTTGATCCATCTATTTTATATTATCTTACACTATGAAAGCACTATTGTTACAAAATAACATAGTTGTAAATAATGTTATTGCGGAACTCAAATGTATCCAAATTTTAAATAAATATATCTTTTGTACAGATTGTAAAAAAATATATTTGGACTATTGAACAAACAACCTTTTATGAATGCTTGTGTTGTAATATTTGTATTAATAAAAAAATCCTGAATACGATTTTAACTTATTTTGCTGTAACAATCAAGTTTGAAAAATGTTTGCACTTGGCAAAACTAAAAATTTAGATGGAATGGTATTAAGAGAAAATGTAATAACAGCTTTTCCTTCTTCCACAAATACCATTCAGAGATTTTATAACAAAGCAAATGCAATCTTCAAAATGTGTTAACTGCATTAGAGAGTTATTTGTTAAAAAAAAAAACTACAAACCCATATTCAACCAACACCTTTATTAGGATTAGCCTACTTACAACTCGAAACCTACTAAGGCCACTACCTCCAAAACTATGGACCAGGGGTTTACTGGGAATTTATTAAGTCTAATAATTTATCAACACAGAACACTAGTACAAAACAAAAGGAAAACAATTAATAAGTGAATAGAGGGTTGGCAATAGTAAGGCATAAAACCTATTTGTGCCCCATTCCATTTAAACTCACTAATAGTACTAGTACATTAGTCTAATAAATTTATACAAAATTTTCCTTTTCGTAGAGTTTTTTTAGACGTTTCCACCAAACCAACTTCTAAATTTCCTCAGATAAAATAGCTGGTTAGACTAGGGATCGTGGTTGTCGTAGCAGACTTATTTAAATGTGAGAGTTCGTCCTAACACAAGAAACACTAAAACTTTACACAAAAATAATTATAGTATATTACTTCGGTCCAAGGGTGGCCATGACAGTTCTTGGCCGTAATCTAACATTGGTTTGAAGACTCAAAGCAAGATGGTGGACCAGTTTTGAAAAGGTATGAGGAAGTTTGCACACGATGTGGGGGTTGCTGCCAACTGAACCTACTAGAGAGTCTGTGTTGATGAGGCCAAGTATTGTAAGGGATACGTGTGACCACTTCAGTAACTCAGTAACTAGATAAGTGTAAAGGTTTTGTGTTTCTTTTGCCCGGATTGACTCTTTCCCATCCAAGCAAGTCTAATATAAAAAAATCCTTAGAATCCTAGGCTGGAAGTACAGTTTGGATAAGAATGATTTGATTGATTGATTGTCTGCAGAGACCTTTTAGCCATTGAAAAAATAGAAAGGATAAGTTAATGTAAAATATCCCTGTCAAGTGTGAAGGATTTTTACATTGATCTCATTTCATCATGTCATTTAATACAACATATATGGAGCTGTTCAGTTCCAACTGTTTCAAATCCATATACTAGACCAACTGAAATTAATTTTTTTCTCTCCCTTATGACTCCGCCAGTCATCCTTCTTTACAGTCCTACATACAAGTTCCTCAGGAAATAAGTTTCAACTACTTATTTCTCATTAAAATTTTCTTTCTTTATTTTTATGCAAGCCACAGTTTGAAGTTTATTTATTATTTAGTACAATATATTAAAATCAATGTTGTTGGACTACAGTGAATGAACACAACATCCCATCACCACAGGACACCCTTAATTCCATCTCAACTGACTTTCAGGACTCCCAAAAGATGAAAGAAACATTTTTCATTGTATTTTAACGTTTCTAGCAATCAACAAGTTCTTCTATTGTAAAGTTAAATCGTCAACTACCAATTTAATCATCCTACAATTGTATTTTCAAAGGGAAATCAAATAGCACAAACAACTAAATGAGAAAATCAAATTAAACAGCACACTTTGTGGAATTCATCTATGTTCCATTTTAAATTTTAAAATGATAACAGCTGATCTACAGATGGAACTAGACATCAATGTCGATGATAAACAAGGTTAGTTATCAGCTGACCTGGAAGGCCGCCGATGTACAGTGGACTGCTAGTGTCCGCTTCCGTCAAGTGTCCGTGGTCAGCCAGCCAGTAGCTCTGCTCCACTCCGTCCACCCTCAGGGTCACCCGTCCCTCCGCGTATCGCGCAGACACGTGGTGCCACCTGTTGTCGCACACCGCATACTCTGTAGCAAACCCTTGCTCTACCTTCCACGGACGTCTGTCGCCCATGTCTCCGGCAAGCACTACCTGTGTACAGATGGTTCAGTGTTGATACAGTTGAATTTGAATTACAACAGTTAATAAAGTGTCAAGTGTGTTAAGATAAATAGTTCAAAACTGGACCAAAGTCCTTGATCATTGGACATTTAGTCAATCGTTCTAGTAAACAACTTTTAATATTTTCTTTGCTTGAACAGTGTTAGTTTTGCATAACAATAACAATATTTCTTCGTAGTCAAGACAAATCATCCACCCGTTACTGTAGGTGTGCAAACAGATCTAATTTTTGTTTAACAAAACTGAGTCTGAAATTTTTTTTTTAATATTATTTTAGACATTAATACAATAATAATTATCACCAAAAGCTTGTTTAAAAATACCTCTGGCTATAAATCCCTATTACAATCAAGTTTTAGTGTGTTTGAAAAATGACAAATTTGAGAAATAACTTACTTTTCCACTGTCCAGTTCCAGTGAAACCGTTGGGTAGCCCTGCGGTTCTGACACGACCAGTAGAATTCCGCTCATCTCGGACGTCCGGAATTCAAGTTCCAAATCCAGCTGACCTCCAACTTGGAAGTGTGTATCTGACAAACGAAATATAAAATATAAGCTATACAAAACTCTGGTATGGTAAATTGAAAAGAGAAAAGAATGTGAGAAAAAAAAATTAAGAAGATTTGGTTTGCATTAAGTGGAAAGCAGATAGAAACCAACATTTCTACCAAAGATGAATGAATTTCTAGCTCAGATTTTTTTGAAGCTAACATAAGCTCTTAATATCTCATTTAACTGCAGAAGTTAGATGTACAAACAAATCTTACCTCCAAGCAGTGTATTTTGATTAATCGTTTTACCCAAAAGTAGATTGACCAAACTTCTGGAATTTTAAAATGAATTCTTGTTACTCACCATAAACCGCATATGCGTCGCCAGGGAAGTATGAGCCCCGCTCTATGTGGGGAAAACACTGCCCCACCTTGTGAGGAACCGCTTTGTCCCCGACCAAATCTTCCCCGCGTCCATTCACCCTCATTCCCTCCATGCAGCCTTTGAATCCATCAATCTTTGATATCTAGGACAAACATATACATAAGTTTTCAAGCCAAATTTTACCTGTTTATTAATTGCATAGGACACATTGATCAAGAATAGTGTAAGGATTCAAATTTAATGTCAGAATAAAGCAAAGTTGTATTATTACAAAAACTTAAAAAGGATACATATTTTTTCCTTAGCAATTACAGGATTAATATAGTTTTGTTTGACGGACATTATTGCTTGCTAACTTAAGTCTTACCAATGACATTGGCAGAGCGAGGGCAGCATTAGGAACTCCTCCCACATACATTACACTGCCTACGTTCATTCTCTTGAATGGAACTTTCATCTTCTCGGGTGCAATGAAGTCAATCTTGAGCCACAGCTTTTTATCTTCTTTCTGAATCGTCACCTGTGAGGAGAGATTTTGAAAACAATTAGTTGCAGTCCGTATTGATTTTGGTTAATATGAATAGGCTATGAATGTTTTCTATGGTAAGGCCAGTAATGCTATGTCTTCCAATCACGGTCAATCAGCTGATCACTTGGGGGGGCGGGGGGGTATGAAGCGCGGGGAGGGCGTCGTAGTCGTGTTCCGGATTCAAGAGCGTGTAGACGGACTTCGATGGTCAAGGCTGGACTCCATCGCCGAATTGATAAGTTATTCTTAGTCTAAGAGATTTATGAATATGTTCTAAATTTTCAGGAAAGGGGGGATTAAGGGGTTAGGGAACTATAAATTATTCCAGCTTAATATGTAAATTATACCTTTTGAGCACACTCGTACCCTTAAGGTACGAGTGGAGGTTTTCAGTGTTCTTTTCCTTATTATATTCATAATTAGATGCATTAGTAATATTAGATCATCAAAATGGCTGTGATATGGATGTGGTTTGGCTCAGTAATTAATTTAAGATCATTATTATTCAACTCAGAATGTCGCTCGCAACACTAGATTGATTATATTGAGCCTTAACGATCCTATGAGTCCAGTACTGTTACTATAAATTATAGTAACACGCTTCATTGCCCATTTTCATGACAAATTTCTGTAAACTTTCATTTTTCAGGAAATCAGTAGTAGTTTATTACACAACAAGGCCGGGTGTTTACATTACAAGCATGATAGATGCTATTTGAGGCTTGTTGAGGGTAGGATTTAATGTGAGTAGACCTACCATTAACACCTTCTCGGATGAGTTGCGTGCAATAATTAATTGCATATAAATCTTGCCACACTACAAGCAACAATAGCATAAGAGAGGTTATGTTTTTGTTATAACCACTCATTGCCACCTAAATACAGTATAATCAGCTGATTGGTGTCCGGTAAAACTCATTACAGTACAGTAGTACACAATGAAACCCCATTTGATTTAGCTGGTGGCAAACAGCTGTTTTCTAAACTAAATCCTTGCGTAGGAAGTTCGTCATAATAATGTAGTGGCGTAAATAAATATACAGGGTAACTGAAATACAACCTACTTACAATCAAAACACTGTCTAGCCTTATATATTTTCCTATCATTTCACTGCTTTGGAAATATGGCATACTCTAACTTAAACCTCATACTTTTTGGATTTATAATGTATTCTGTAATCAATTAATACCTATGTAAATCATCAGTAATCACAATAATCAACACAATGGCAGTCCTAGATCTGAGTGATTCACGTTCAAACTAACAAAATATTAGCATTGGTTCGGAGGGCGGTGGAGGAGCTTTGTCAAACATATAGTAGGAAGCTTTGTCGCCAGTGTAGCATTGATATAGCCTATTGCAAAACTGACCAGTAAATTTACCATTCGCCATCTGACTTCATCGTACTCCAGCTGACTTTACCATCCAATTTCTTTTTTTTAAGAATGACTTTATGGTCCAAAAAGACAAATACAGAAGGCTGCTTCTTACTGTGTAGTGTGATGATTAAACTCTAACTGTTTTTTTAGTTAAATGTTTACGTAAATGCCCCACACACAAAAATTTATGCTATACCTAAACCACAATGTTGAAATAACTTTTAACTTTTATGATAAAGTTTTGGTGAGGTTTCTGTTTGAAACTGGTGTGGAAAGTAATCATCCTTGCAATAAAAGTATTTGAACTATTTTTTTAATGAACAGGTACTGCAGATTATGTTACCATGTGCGTAACCATTGACCGAACACATATAATTTTTTCAAAAAATCTGACAAATTGTTATCATTCAAAATAACCGAGACACAAATGTCTAGAACCAAAAATTTACTTTAATGGCAAAATACTTTAGCAATGGGTAAAATAGCTTTCACCCATTGCTACATTTTAGGAAGAGATTACAAAATGTCAATATAAATTCTACCATGGCATATTATATTACTTACAATTTCGCCAAACTGTATCATAAAATCTCATTTTTGTATACTTTGTACTCACATGATGCCAGGCACCGTCATTGAGCACTGCTTGTGATGAAAGCTCTACTTTTTTTCTTCCTTTCAAAACGGTGTGTAATCGGCCGTTCTGAAGCGAGACCATGATGAAATGCTGCTTCCCCCTGACACCCTGTACGTATCCAGACAATTAATTACATAAGGTTAGTTGGTCTCTTAGATACTTTTCAAACTATATTTAGTTAATGTTCTCTAAGTCCCAAACATAATGTTTTAGTTTGAAAACAAATCATACCAATATTTTGGTGTCTAAAAGTAAAATACTTAGATGGGAATGCAACTGGTGGTTTTTTGACTTGAGCGAAGGATGAATGTAGAATGGACTAAATAGAAAACAGAATTTAGTGAAACCCCTTCTGTAGCTTTACTTGTAACTAACTAAAATCAGCTGGGTTTTCAGCCAAGATCATTTATAACCCAATCAACATGGACAACTGGGTCCATTTTCCAACCGCCAAAAATCCACAAACCTATCCCATGATCAAACTGGCCTCTGACTAATAATAATAGACACGTACAGGCACAACAAAAATCAACCCTTCAGGGTAGAAAGTCCTGAAGCGTATCTCCACGGTGAAGTTCTTCTGGAAAGTGCTCCTCTTGCGGAAGTTGACGTGGACGTGAGTGTACGTGGAATCTCCAAACTTGACGGCTCCAGGCTGCAGTGTGTAGCTCGTGACCTTACGACACCCTGCGACTGCGCGACCCTCCATGACAGGTGCGACTGTAGGCGACCGGCCACCCGCGGGGCCCTCCCTGCCTATGTCCGCGTGCTCAAACGACACTGGCCGGTCAAAGTGGAGCAGCCTACAAACATAGGACAGTTAAAGTGTTTATAGAAACTCAAAAACTCAAATAGCTGATGCTTTGAATTTGAAAAATCAAGCAATAAAGAAAAGTATTCAACATGCACTATAGAAGACTGTAAATTATTTGATATTAATAATTTATTTCCTTTGGAAAAGGATTGGATTGAAACACATGTTTATATGCAAGATAATTCAACTCTTAATCTTCTCAGACAAAACTTAAATCACAATAAGTCTAGTACTTGAAAGATCATGTTTTATTTTTATATCACAAAACATGAAACAATGTTTTCTCTTCTCTGTAATAATCATTACCGTACCCAAAGTTTCCAAAAAAATCATTGGCTCAAATATTTTATCAGTTTTTTTTCCTTTAAACTTCCTTTAATGAATGTTAGACATACTTCATTGGGTTTTCAACTTAAAATCATACACCACCTTAAGTTTGATAACTTGGTCTTAAATCAGCAGTAATAATAGTTACACAAATGGCTTACTGATCATTAAATATGGCGTCCTTGATAGTGCCAATGAATGGAATACTAGAAACGGTTCGCCCAGTGGTGTTGAACCCTGGAGGCAGCCCGCCCAGGAACAGTCCTCCGGCGCTGCCCGGCGCCTTGACAACAGTGGCGCCCTCTGGTAGACTGGCGCTGGCGTGCAGAGTATCGTCTACCCTCAGCTCCAGCCGACGCCCTTGCTTGGTCAGAGACAGGGAGTGGTATCTACAGGACAATACAATAAAGTAGAATGTTGGTGTTATTCTCAGTTAGGTTAGGTTTAGATGCGTTAGAAAAAAGTCATATAAAAAATTTGGACGACGAATAAATATATTGTATAGGCTATCCAATCCACCATGAGAGTGAAAACATCAAATCACCTCTAAGTCACACCCCTACTAGTCCTTCCTGATTTTTAACACACATGTACACAAAGTTTTCTTACCTCCCATCTCCATACTCCGAGCCTGTGCTGGCCAGTCGCACCTCGCCTCGGCCTGCGTTGAGTCTCACGTCCAACTGACCTCTGCGTAGACTCACTGTGTAGTAGCTGAGGCGATCCTGCGTACAACACAACACACTTAGGAATCTCTCATTGTCACATCATACAAATAAAAGTAATTCTAATGTTACTATTTGATTTTAGTTTTATACGTCCCCAACTACAACTTGTTGAAAACAATATACCTAATTTATTTTATATAACATCAACTACCAGTAACAAAATGTAAGGGAGAAAAAGTAATTTTGGACTGTAAGACACTCTGTGTGTAGAGGGTGGAAAAAACTTTCTACTATTCTACTAGTAAAGGCCTTGAAATTGATGTGCATATTAACCTATGCTTACATTTAAGATTTTCTTCCCAATCCTAGTGGGCCGTCCCCCTGAAGAGATAGCGCATCACTGAACAATGTGTTAAAATTATTTTAATAACAAAGAACTGTGTAACAAGTTTTGAATCTATATCTTTATCTTTATCAGTTTTTGAAATATTTAACCGTCCCGGGACTTTTTTCCACCCTGCTATGTTCTTTTTTTCTAAAAGTTGGCTACAACTGGTCCATATAGATGGGATGTCTACTATGTATCCATCCAAATACAACAAAAAAGAGGTAAAAATCTAAAAATGATAACAACTTTATGTTACTAATTGATTTTCAGTATTAGAGATGCAAAAGTGATGTTTAAAAATTGGGCATTTCATCAGTAAGATTTAAGTTGAAAGTTTCGCTAGGCCTGGATCACTTACAAATCAAAATGTTAAAATGTAAAAAAGATTTGAACCAAAACTAAAACTGAATTTACAATGGAGAAACAGTAGAAATAAATAAATGGTGATAATTTGATTCCATCAGAATTACTGATGACCCTATAAATATTTTGTGTTGTCACTTGCTCGATGGAAAATTTCTTGATCTTGAATAATTTTTCATGAAAACATTTCACCGTAAAAATAGTAAGTAACCTAGGTCTCCACTATAAAATAGATTGGATCGTAAGGTAAGCCTTACATTTTAACAATCAATAATTTTTGTAAAGTCTCTTAAAATATTTTGGTTGGATGAACAAGATAGTTTCTCTCTTATTCTTAGGCCTAAACTACGACTAGCTAAATGGTATAAGAGTAACACAATGTAATGTCATGATATATTACAGCCAAATTAAGGTTAATGACCTTAATCAAACTTAAATGCTATGACAGGTATTTTTAATTTCCCATAATGCCCATGGGTCACGTAAAAAAAACTTTCCCTTTTAAAAAAAACCAAAAAAAATTAGATTATCAGAAGATGTTAGTAGAGTTCCCCTACCTCTCGTTCGATAGTGTTAGTAATTTCTTCATTTTCTTCAAGGGGTTGATAAATGCCTGCCTGAAATCAAAACACTTCATATTTAACACCCCCACATGCATAACCAGTCAACTTTAAAGAACATCACAACACAGAACCCATGTTATAATATGCCTCTTCAGGTTAAAGTTATAAATATTTTATAGTTATAAAGTTATAAATATGTATTCCTATAATCTTTTCCCCAGAATGCAATGGAATCAAAAGTTGGGCTAAACTGAATTTTAAAAGTCAATAATAACAATATCTCCTCTTAATACGCTCAACATGTATTTTGGTGATTACGGTAAGTAATGTGCAATTAATTGTCCCTTCAACGGGTTTATGTTATGCGAGCAATTAATGTTATACTTAAAAGTTAAAATTATAGGAAGAATTTGTTTTTTAAACTGAACAGTGGAAAGTATGAGAAAGATGAAGATGTTAGTAAGACTCCTACCTCTTGCTCGATAGTGTTAGTTATTTCTTCATTATCCTCAAGGGGCTGGTAGTGTCCTGCCTGAAATCAAAACACTTTCCAGTTAAGACCCCAGCATGCAAAATTAATTCCAAAGTTAAAAAAAACATTCACATGTTCAATATTAGTAAGTAAATATGAAATTTTAGGATTAAATAGATACCACCGGTGCACTAGTTCAAACATTGAATTGTTTTGGGAAAAAAGAAAGATAAGAAAAAGTGAAAAGTCTGTGAACTAAGAAAATTATGACATAGAAAATATGATTTGAAGATTTGTTTGATTCCATAATGTAATTCACATCACACGACTGATTGATGATTGATCGATTGATTGATTTAGTTTAGCCACGTTAAGTGCATGTGCAAGGCACATATTGTACAGCTTTTGCTAAATTAAAATTGTTTCTGTAAAATTAAATCTAGATGACTAAATCAATATTTTATGTAAAAAAATAATCTAAAAATGAATTTAAAATTAAATATTCAAGAAAATTCAAGAGTTTAGTTTATTGTTCATGCATTTATTAGTGTGACACAGTCTATCCGGGATTCCGGTCAGAGACAAAACCTTCAAATATTCATTTAACCAACCATAGACTATATTTATATAGCTTACCAGTCCTTCAAAAGTAGACAGCATCAGCAAAGCATCTTCTTGTGTTGTCGCAAACACAAATCCAAAAGAAGCTTTCTTCTTGAGAGAATGTGATGCCAACTCTAAGTAGCCGTTACCATTGAAACCAACTACGGTGAGAGGCTGAATACGAATAACATAACTGTTAGTATTATAATAACAATATATGAACTTAAAAACAAAAAGAAAAGTAGAGTAAAAATTGTAAAATTATGTAATGGAACTTAATCCTTCTCTTAGTCTTCTCTTTTTTCACGTCAACGAGTGAAGGTTAAACATTTGAACACATTCACAGTACGAGTTGATTAATTTTTTATACATCAAATAAAAAAAATCAGAAAGCCATATTATATAATAAAAATGGGGTTTGTCATTCATATACATTTTTCTACATATTATATAATAAAAATGGATTTTGTCATTCATATACATTTTTCTACAGTTACCTGACAAAGTGAGCTTCCTTGCACTGGTGCACGCCAAGTAGCTAATTGATGCATTTACTTCCTTTTGGCGCGCTCATTTTTTCCCGCACTCTTTTTTTTTGCTACACTCCAGTATTCACACCAAACAACAAAAAACAAACCCTTGAAAATAAGTTACCAATACTTAAAGATACAACGACTACAATCACCTGGTGCAGCGTATCCAATTTTGTTTAACCCTCTCAACTGGTCAATTATAGTTGTTTTTGTTTAGCATAATCGGGCAACTAAAAACTTTTCAATCCAAGGAAAAATATTTCAAAGAGATTTTCGGTACCGGTACCAACCTTATCAGAACAGGAAGCTTGTACGCCCCAGAAACTGTTCTTCAGCAGGTGGTATCCTTCTTGGAGTACTTGGAAGTCTGACATACATCCCAAGAAAGACCCGGGAATGTTGACGGGTGGTTTGAATCCCGGGGGAACACCACCCACGTAAAATAAAGCACCCGAAAAGTCTGGAATGGAGTCTTGACTTGGAGGTGGTGTAGGGGCTCCGTCTCTTATTTCTGTCTCTACTTTGAGGACACCTAAAGGATAATTCAAAATTAAGTTAGCCTACCATGGTATGATAAATACTCAGTGCCTTATTATATTGGATTTCGGTTTGTTTAATGTATAAAACGTAAAAATAACCTAAAAGTTTATGATTCTGAGCAATGTACAGACAAAACTCTAATTTTATTGAGCGGAGCGAGCGAAGCGAGCGAAGCTCTTTGGGATCAACTTCAATGCAAACAATATAACACCATCACTCAATAACGGCTGAACACATTTCAGCCAAACTTAACAAGACTACTTAGACTAATAATGAGATGGTTTGTAAACAAACAAATTTCAATTAGATAATGCTAATGCAATTTAAAACGAACTTAAATTTTTAAATTTTTAACATTAGGCTTATGGGACTAAAGTAGCTATGACAGTTTTTTTGTTTACAAGAAAAATGTAAACAAGAGAATCATAAGGTATTTCTGAACTTTCTATACTTTTCTTTTAAACGTTTTTAAACCATTCCTATGATTTTAATAAACAAGAAAATGCCGTTACAACATTTTTTTAAGGCGCGGAATTCACTGAAAATCGAGAAAATATACGGAACTACTTTCTCAATGCGCGGAGCATAAACAAGGAGCGGAGGGATACGGACCAGTGACTACTTTCTTGGGAACCTATTTGTGTTGCCAGCTGATTAGAAACAGCCAATGTTAGAAATCAGGATTTAATAAGCGATATATCGAACCACATCGAAATCGATATTTAATCCGATAATACATCACAGATTATATTATGTTGAATTACATCGACGGTGCAGTAAGTTATTACACTTATTAATAAAACGCAGATTGAACACTGATCTAATTTAGGCATGTGGGGAAGGTAGGTCGGGGTTTATGAGTACTCGTGACTACATTAAATGTTTTGAAGTAAGGTTAGATTAGGAAGGTAAAGTGTAGGTTATAGGTAGGTGATCGAGTTGTTTATTTGTGTTGCACCATATAATTTTTATCTTTTGGAATAGTTGGTTAAATGGGGAAACGATTTCAAAAATGTTTGCATATGGTCTTAACAAACCATCTACTGTATTCTAGCATTGACTTTATATAAAGTCAATGATTGTAGCAAATTACTACATAAAAACCAAAAGAAAAGAACATTTGGATTTGGACCTTTGCCCATAGCAAAACTAACATATAATTTATGAAATGTGAAAAGTTGTACATCATTAAATACTATTCTGTAATATTAATAATTGTTCGGCAAATCCTCATTTTAATGGCTCGTCTGAAATGGAATCTGCATTTTGTGAAACAGTAATTTGGTAACAATTCAGTAATTTCAAATGTTGATAACAGTAGCCTATCCTATATAAATACTGTTATTTGATTGCCAAGCCACGGACTATACATACGTCCAGTTATAACCGTAATAAGTAAATAATTAATTACCTGGACTTATAGAAGTACACTTTTAACCACGGTTATCTTTGACTATCAATACAACTAGACATTCCATCCCCACGTTAAATTTATAGCCAGCTTTTTCATCAAAATCTTCTGTATCCAATGGTCAATGGTTTTATTAAGGCCAGTATTAAAATGCCGTCTCTAAATCGTCCCAATAATGGTGGAAGACCTACATTCCAGTTACATTACAATCATATCAAGAATACTTGGTATTAACAATCATAAATTATTTTCAGCAAAGAAAGCTGATTTTAACCGATTGCAAGGGTTGAAATGAAGACCAATGTTTATGTTGCACAGTTGAATTTAAATGTCAAATTTTCCCTCCTGATGTTATACTTTAATACTCACGTGTTTTTTTAAATAGTTACTGTTTTTTATACTTAAATACTTTAAACCGATTGTAAGGGTGAAAAATGAACACCAATGTTTTTGTTGTAGGCTAAAGTTGAATTTGAATGTTAAATTTCCTTTCTCTTTTTTATACTTTAATGCCCTTTTTGGATGTTAATATCAGATTCCAACTACTGTAATATTTTCCTGGTCAAAACTACCAATGCACTTCTGGAAGAGGTGTCTGAATAACAAGATGTAGTAAAAACAAATTTGAATTATTACAATTATAATCAATAAAACAAGCATTAATACATCTATTGACTTTTTTACATTTAGTTACTTATACAAATATCAAATCACGTTTGTTCCGCTCAACTGGCTTTCACCTCTCTGAAAGCAACCCTAGTTTATATAGATAGTTCATAATAAGTTACTAAGATGTAATGATTTTTTATGTTGATATTTTTTTAGTTAAGTTACTTGAAAAAATAGAGTTCAAGTGTTAGACGCATAACAATAGGTTACACAACATAATATTGATATTTCGCCCTTAGATACTTTTTCATTTATGTTGACAATGTATTATTTTAAGGGTATTACATTACCATTGACTATGAGATACTGAAGTCAAAGGTATTACCGAACCTGTCAGCTACTAAGCTATTTGCTTGGCTAACTTCTAAACATAGATAACTAAACAAAATTGTATTACATTTTCCTAGGCCTACACAGCAATTACCTTTTTCAATTTTCTTCTTTCTGTCAAAATAACGACTTGCTTCAAGTCTAGTCCAGTTTCCAGTGTTGTATCTTTTCAAAGTCATCATTTCCAGACTTGAGTCGCCACCATAGCCAATTCTAAACACAACGTGTCCATGCGAGAGTGTTAGAGACACAAATCTGTCCTGAAACCACAATTTTTTTATATCAATAAAGTGAATGTTTTCATGTGTTAAGAACAAAACTTTAGATCAAAATTATATTTTTCTTTGTATAACCTCAAGTTCAAAATTAATATTTTATCCGTTTTGAAATTGTTGGTTAAATATTGTTAAAAGACAATAAAAAGTCTACCTTATTTACATGTGCATCTTGAAAATATAACATCATAGGATATTTAAAAGGTTACATTGTGAAAAAAATATCATATTCTTAAGTTATGTTTGGGTGAACCAAAGCAACCTTTGTATGCATACACATTGAGAATCAACCATTAAAAAAACTACTGGTAGATGATTTGAATTATTATTGGACCAAATATTTGAATACCTCGGTAACAGCTGTTTATTTATAAGGCAACAGGATATGTAAGGCATTTTGGGAGAAAAGAGTCGAGAGTATGAAGTGGTATTACTATTGATGACATCAATGACAACTTACTTGTTGGGAGCTGACTGACAGAAACAACAAAGCATTTTCATCGAAAGTTCGGAAGTTGACGGATACACTGAAGAGATATTTGTTGTAAGCACTGGAACTGTCTTGCCGCAGAACCACGTAACCATCACCCGTGAAAGTGAAGGACTGTTCATCTTTGACTTCTTCGGCTCTAAAATTGTAAAAAAATGAGATGATCATGAAAGTACCACGTCATGCTAAGAAAACAAACTACATAGATGAATGTAAAATGAAATAATTTTCTTGACAACAATACCGTTAATGTTTTCAAACAATTTTAGTCTACTAAATTGATTTTACTTTAAAGCCAAAAATACAATTAAAATACCATTGGCATTGATATTTAAAAATATTTGTCAATGCAATGGTTCTGTTTTTATTACTATCTAACATGGACCTATTACCAAATAGCATCATAATGAACAGTCCATAAAGGCTAATATTAAAAGCTTATTCAAAACTAATAAACATACTTAATTAGTATCAACAGAAATATAAAGCTGTACTTAAAGCAATTACCCTTCTATGCAGGCCGTACAAGCGTTATTGTCTGACTTGAAGTTCCAAAGTCCGATGGGTCGTCCGTCCAACTCAAGGCGATGCAAACACCCGACAAGGCCCGGCTGGGTGGACAGTAGCTGTGGTGGCCTGCGGGGCCCAGGGCCACCCACCCACACCCGAGCGCCGGGGCCCACGTCCAGTCTGCCCACCCCTGGGGCCGACACGTTACTGACGGGAGAGCCACTAGCTAGGGGCGACCCATCAGGCAGTACTTGGGGCCTTACTGAGAGTCGGCCCACATTGCTGATCCTACACACAACCTACTGTTTAGAAGAAAATACCTTACAGAATAGTTATCAATTATTTTAAAAAGGGTAACATTCAATATTTTATTTTCTTTTATAGGCATTTAGTATTAAAACAAATTAATACTATAGCTCACTGTTACAAACAATAAAAAACCTCAGTATCTCTGAATTGTTTTAAAAAGGTGTTGACTCTTGCTAACTAACCTGAGAAAAATATAATCCAAATACTAATGGATACAAACAAATAAATAAAAGCTGACAAAACTCTGAAGCAAAAAGAGTGGAGTGGTTTTTAATCACACTAACCATCTAAATATATAAAAGGCAAAGCCCTCACTGACTCACTCACTCACTCACTCACTCATCACTAATTCTCCCACTTCCCATTTACCTAGGAGGCTGAAATTTGGTACACCGATTCTTTGGGCATTAAATAGGAAAACTAAGTAGTTTTTATTCTGATCGGGCTTTCGGGCTCCGCCCCAGTGGCTCTGGAGTTTCCCATGTTAACCTTATGATTTTTCATATTTAAAAGGAGTTAATGAATCTTAACAGCTGTTTCAATTAAACAAGTTGGTTCTGTTCTATGATGTTCAATAGCATTAAAGTTACAAGGATTACCAACAGGGTGCAGCACTTTATTTTTTTAAATTTATGACAACAGCTAATTTGCAACCAAAAGGTGAGTGAGCGTAGCGAACGAACTTCAACCTGGAGGCGAGTTAGCGTAGCGAACGAGCTAACCTGAAGGCAAGTGAGCGCAGCGAACGAGCTCCAACCTAAAGGTGAGTGAGCGTAGCGAATGAACTTCAACCAGGATGTGATTGAGCCATGTGAATACTTATGAAGTTAAACGGGGCAAAGCCCGCGGGTACAGCTAATATCATAAAACCAAATAATAGTGCGGAAAAACAAGTGAATGAATGCTAAGAGAAGATAAATCAGGAGGCATGATAAAGTGGTGGGGAATGCGATGAGTGTTAGAAATTGAAGAGGTTTTGAAAATAAGAAAGAACAAGTAGGGTTTATTTTGACTGACCTCTCCGCCTCCACCCTGTACCAATGCTGGTCGTTGCTGAGGTCCCCAGCTGTCTGGATGTGGAGGGGGTGAGTCACCTCCCCAGGACCACCTCCTACGTTCCACACAAACCTCATCTTGCGGTTCACCATCTCCACGGCGATAAAGTCATCCTGCAACAGCCAACAACACAAAGTGAAGATGGAGTTTGAAATATTTCCAACATCATCGGCAGAAAAAGAAGAATAACTTCTAGGAATTTAAAAAAAAAAAACATGTAAAGGTTATATATTTTTTTATAATAAACCCATAGCTAGTGTGTTATCAAGGACTATAGAGTGTTGCAAGAGTAATGCTAGCGTGTTACCAAGGTAGTAACAAAGTGTTACTACGGTAGTGGTAGAGTATTCCTGGTGTAGTACCAGAGTGTTAACGTGGTAGCAACAAAGTTTTACCAAGGTACTACAGTACCAGATCAAGATGTATGGAGTGGTACCAAGCTAGTAATGGAGTATTACCAAGGTAGTATTGAACTGTTATCCAGGTAGGGTTAAGGTAATACCAAGGCAGTGTTGAAGAGTTACCATGAAAGTGTTTTAAAGCTAGTGCTGAGTGTTATCCAGGTCGTGTTAAAGTTTTACTCAGGTAGTGTTAAAGTGTTACCGAGGTGGTGCTGGGCAAGTAGAACAGCAGGGCGTCCCTCTGTTGGCTGCTGATAGCGTAACTCAGCACGATGGATGTCATGGTCGATGGCTCCAGCTGCGATGGCTCGTACGACCTCACACAACTCGCCCCCTCGCGACCAGTCATAGACAATCGGATCTGCAAACATACGACATAATCGTACAACAGTGAAAACTCACCTGGTTATCAGAAATTGGTACTACAAGGTTTTTATGAAAATTTTTTTTAAAAAAACCTTGCTTAAGTTTAGCAAGAAATGAACAAGTAAAAAATCAAACATTTTTCAAAAAGTACTTTTTTCAAACATTTTTCAAAAAGTAAATCCGTACCTAAATAACATTAGACTTGAAATTAAAGAATAGCGAACCAACTTCAAATTCAAGTAGCAAAGGCCAACTTACACCATCCGCTATATGTCTTGCTTGCATAATTTTGCTGCGCAGCTCATCAAGTTTTGCTGAGATTGAGCTGTTCCAAACTGCAAACTCTTCTGATTGTTTTCGAGCAGTCATTGTGATCTGAGAGGCAAGATCTTGAGCTTTCCGGACGTTAGCATTAACCTCTGAAACTGTACCAAATAGATTAATTTTCTGACTCCAACTCAAGTACAATAATATCAACAATATGAGTTATAGATATTCATTTAGCATTCATTGGAGAAGTTTTTCATTTGGAAAACGCTCATCATTTTCAAACAGGAAGAGTAAAACAACGTTTCCATAAATTTTTCACAGTCTATAAAAAAGTAGGCCTACTTACGAAAAGATTCACATTAAAGTTCAACTCCAACTTCAGATGAATCAGAATTTTATTTTATTTAAGAATTTCATATTGTTTATCTAGGTTTAAACAATGACTGCTAAAAACTTACTTAAATTCTCAGCTGCTGTGATACTTTCTTCCCCTTCGCTTGAAAGTTTCTTCATTGCAGGTTTTAGCTCATTGTTTACTTTATCCGTCATTAAGTCTGCTACCTCCTCGTAAGCAGTTGTCCGATCTATCAGCTCATCAGCTGCTACAATAGCTTCAGCTGCTTCCTTACCATCTGGAAAAGATTTAAATTGTTTATTTTATTTTTTTAAGAGATTAGCAGCTTTCCTTTTAACCTTGCATTTGGATTTGAAGGTTTACAAAGCCCTGTGTCTGTGCTGGAACATAGCCAGCAGAGCAAGGTGTGAGCCAAAGTACAAGTGAACTGTACTGATAAAATTTAGTGGCCGACCCCAAACACAAACCCTTGACATTGCTGTCGCGGATTCATGGTCTGTCACGTTACCAACTGAGCCACTGACTCACCATAGATTCATGGGTTTAACTTTAAATGTGTAAAAAAATATTTAAAATTTATAAAGTTTAATTTTTTAGTGCTCTTAAATCATTTTGACATAAATACAAGGCTTTTCACCCTGATTCTGTTAGTTGTATCTGTAACCTCCTCTTCTGGGCATTAAAATAACATTATGATAATAATATTTAAAAAATGGTGACACTAATCTTAAAATGTAAATATGTCTTTGTTTTTTCAACCAACATATGAGAATACATACCAAAGTCAGTCGCCAGCTTCTGCAGTTCCCGAGAGATAGCATTATCCCCGTTGCCTGCAGCCGTCAACATGTCTCGTAACACCATGACTTGTGCCTCTGGGGCTCGCACTCCTTCCCGTAGATCATCCGTCAGCCGCTTACGAGCCACCAGCATCCCCTCCAGTGTCCGTCCCTTTGCCCTCACAGCTGCTGCCTCGTCTATCAGAGATCTGTGACCCACGCCTGGATAAACCTAGTGAGAGATATAACCAGTTGACTAACATGTAATTGTAAAACTAAATCATGTATATGATTATGATCAGTAACTTAAAACATTTATCTACAAATGCTATTTAGACTCTATCATCTTCCACTGATGACATACAGGTCTGTGCAGCAGTGCCGGATTTATGATATTTGCGGCCTTAGGCAAAGTTAACTAGAGCAAACCCCCTTGGGTTGAACTTCCCCCTGATCGAGCCAAATATCAGATCAGTCGTGATATTTGGAGTTGAGACTTGGACAATGAATCATATATGTCTAATACAAGTCTCACCAAAGTGGGTTAATCGTCTTTACAGGTTATGTTAGTAGCACTGACTCAAGAACTAAATCTATCACAGACGTTTCAGTAAACAAATTTATAATATTTTAGTTTTTCAGATTTTACATTACTGACAGGTCACTTGGCTTGGTTATTAACAGATAACATACACTTGGACAAAAATATTTTAGTACATAATGAATTATATCATATGAAATAAAGTTGATATTTTGTAGTCCACATAAGTCTGGCTATTATTGCTTTACCTTCTCAAATGCAAAGTCAGCAGCCAGACTAGCATTGTCAGCTGCTTCCCTCGCCCCTTGCAGAGCGTCTGCGATGTCCTGGTAGGCCTTGCTGGCCCGCAAAGCTACACCTGCATCTTGCCTTGTGGCCACAAACAGACTACAACAAAGACAACGATTTGTTCAAGATTTAATGTGTTTATGGTTTGTACCTCCTCCCTTGACATTCCTGGACACTAGGATCTAACATTGAACCACATTATTTGAAACTAGAGTCATAGGGTTGGAGCATTATCAAATGAATGGTGATTGACAAGACTTGAACCCAGAACTTTGGGGATCAAAACCCTACGCTCTACGACTAGACCAGCTCATAAATGTGTTTATGGTATGCAAATCTGAAGTGTTAAGTATTGATTTTTCAACTATTTTCCAATCACAATTTCATCAAAATAGCGACACAACCATGCTTTTTTTATGTTGATTATGAGTGACAAATAAAGATAGATTAAATATATAGATGAGATAGTACTTTGTGTGGAGGTGACTTTAGTTTTGAGGGCTAACTCACTTAAATGATAAAGTTTCAAAAGACTCAAGACAGCTAGTTAAATACTAAATATGTTTTGCCAACATAAAACGATATTCTTCTTCATAATTGCTATCTTAATTGATTTTACGTTCATATATTTTAGCCACTACCAACTACTTACTTTTGTAAAGTCCTGAGGCACAACACAAAAACAAGAAAATATTAGTATTTTATATAAATAAACCCCAACTTGTAAACAATGCATATTTTGCATTTTTGGTCACCAATATGTATATTAAAAAATGGAAATTAAAACACAAGATTACAGTCTTTAAAGTTAAAAAAAAAATAGAATACGAAAATGTCTGACAAATTAATTAGTCCACTAAAGCCAATATGTTTTAAAGTAAAAGCTCGATGATTGAGGGCAACTGGATCCAGTTTCGAACTATCAACAAGCTTATAAGTATTCTCAATAGAGAGTTTGCCACCTTCTTACCTTTTTATTAACATGCAGTGCAGGCTTTATAAACATTGAGCTAACCAGCTATGGTTGTGAAATTTGGTACAGTATATTCTTAAAAATTATGAAAAAAAGGAAATGTCTATTGGTTATTAATAATTACCGATATAAACAGCATTGATATATTTTAAACTGGAAGAGTATCTACAGATTGAAACCATTATGCACACTATCATTATTAAATCATGAGCACATGCAATTCAATCAAAAAGTCAACAACTAACTTACTCAGCATATTGTTGAGCTTTCATCATTAAGTCTTCAGCATGCCTTTCTGCCGGCCGAACATATTCATTTTCATTTATTGGATTCATGATTGAGAGATCGCTTTTTTTCAGTTCCGTTTCGTCTGTCAAGTTTCGGAGTTGGTCTTTCATTATTCGAAGTCCCTAAGGAAAATAAAACCAAAACTAAAGTTTATAGTAGTTACAAAAAGATATTGTAAAAAAATACACAAGCACAGCCACCAATGTTGAACAGTACTATATCACACTTAGAGCCTGTGAGTGGGGGTCACAGCTAAAGTGATATAGCCGTTTCATGAACTGTATGAGTTTACCAAAATATTTTTTTAGGTCTACTATAGCATAGAAGATTGCTATCTGCCAACTGGATAGAGAGTTCAATTTGCCAAAACATTACTAAACAGATTGTAGAAAATTAAAAAGATGCTAGTTTTTAAAAAAGACAATTCAAAATTATTCTCCTCACAAAATGATAATCATTTAAAGTTTCTTGTTTCTAAAGATAAAAATAAAGAGTTTCCCACACACATAAAGTACATTAAGTTAAATAATTGTGTTTTGACAGTAGGAGAAAGATTGTCTAGGACATTTTTCATGCCACAACATGAAATATTTTAGTGGAATAAAAACATGCACACCCTTAATTTTTAATCGTGCAGGAATATTTTATGGGACTTTTAAATTTAGTAACAATGGATAGATTACCTCAAAGTTGTCCCCCGTTTCATCAAGAAATACATTAGCAGTATTTGTCATTTCTTTACTCTTATTCGCAATGCTGTTGATATCCGCTTCAATGTTTGTTGACATGTCAATGCTCTTTTTAGCATTGTCTAGAATCTTCCTGCTATCACCAGCAATTTTTGAGGCCTGAAATATTATTGAAATGAAATAATATTTACGGTAATATAAACACAGTTTTCTAGAAAGCCACTCATACCCAATAATTGTAATTGTCAGTGTACAAACATTACCTACAACATTCAGATTGCAATGTAATGTACAAAAACAGTAATGTTAATGTTGTTATATTTTTATATGTGTCTTAAATGAAGTAGAAAGAGAAAACTAATATGAACATTAAAAACTTGGAAACTGTAAGAATTTTTGATACAGTTAAGCCCAAAAATATAATAACATGGAAGATTGTTATTTAAAAAAAGTTTATTACCTTTGAAGTATATTGGTAAGGAATATGAATAATTTTTTAAACAATATTCAAAGCACCTTAGGCAATTTTAAATCATGGCAAAATATATCTACTGCAATATCAAGTAGGTACAATAGTTACAAATTAGTTACCTATCTTTTACTAGCAACACTACTTCAATAATTACAAAAATTACACCTTTCAGCACCAGGTAATAAATATTGGGTAACTTTAAATCACTTTTAAAACAAATAAGTACCTAAAATATAGAGCTTGAAGTCTATTTACCTTATTTATATTGTCTTTGACAGAAGCCACGATAATGTCCAAATCCATCACTTTTTCTTGCACATCTGACAGCCTTTGTTTTAAAACTTCAACATCGGAAAAATGTCCAATAATCTGTGGCAGATCTTCTAGTGTTTTGCTGCAGAATCTGTAAATAAACAACATGTCTGTGAATATTATATCTTATTTATTTTTAGTTAACTGTTCAGTTACACTTAATTAAGGCTCTACCTGTCCGCCGCACGCTAAATCCAAGGGTTTAGGATCTCCATCATTTTTTGCTTGGTTCTTAACTGATTGAAAATATATTTATGTTGATTTGTTTTTTATAATTTTTGTAAGCTTGTATCGTTTTAAAATTTTTGTAATAGTAGAATTTTAAGTGGGAAATGACTGGTAAATGCCTCTAAATGAACTTTTTTCTCAAGCATTTTCTAGGGATGGACGAGATTGGATTTTTAGTTTGAGACGAGACGAGACGAGATTTTTTATTTCTCATAAAATTTTGAGACGAGATCGAGACGGGATTTCCCTTCTCATACACAACGGGAAATGCACGTTCAAAATTTTTACCTGATTTTGTAACATTGTTAGATGACTGTTTAAATACAAAAATAATGATAATAGGCAAGAATATTTACAATCTTTTATTAAAAAACATCAGCATAACACTTTTTTATTAATCACGCCTAACTTATTAAAAATGCCTACAATTAGGAAACATAGTGATATCAGTTAGGATAGAGTTCAACTTATCCTAAAATAAAATAAATCATAAAATAAAAGCAATAGGCCTATTCATTTTTATAAAATAGTTACTTGTTTTGACTTTTTATAGTAATAAAACATTCCTCACACTGCTTACACTTAACAAAACTTCTCAAATATTAAAGTAATATTATTAAAATAATTAAAGTAATATTTACATTTAAAGAATTAATTAAATAAGAACGCCTTCGCAAAGGAAACGCAACTACAACACGCTCCTGTATTGCGGGTATTGCATTTACTTTCTGCAGGCGTTTTTAATTTTTTTTTTATTTTTTATTCTCGTCTCGATAAAAATCTCGGCCAAAAAAAAATCTCATCTCGTTTGTTACAAAACAAAAGCGTATTCCACTTACTTGTTGACGGAGTCAGCTGAGTTAGACAGATGTTCATAGTTGCCGAGGTCTCGGATATCTCCAATAAGAAGCTTGGCTTGAAACAACGCCTGAGCAATGCTGATTCCCTCCAGATCGCCCTTACCATAGCCTAACAGCTGATCCACAATCCCTGCGTCAGATAACACGTTAAGTTAAAACATATGTTGTATTTTGTGAGAGGGGTGGACTCGTGGTCCAAGTACGTCAACCATTAGAAAACAGAAATTGGTAGAACACCACACTTAGTAATGAATATAATCCTTCTCTCAACTTCTCATTTAACTTGGTTATGTCCTTAGAGCTTTAAGCAATGAAATATTTAGATTAAATAAACAACTGAAACCAATAACTAATAATTTTAACAAGATTCAAAAAATTTACTGTTTAAATTAACTCCATTATGAACTTAGAAAATTAGTCCTAGAACTGGAAATAGTTATTTGTGCAACTAGTGAGCAAAGGGAGCAATTGATTCACTCGAGAGAAATACTTACTCACGAGCCATAGGCGAGTGAGGAATGGTTTCTCGAGTGAGGCATTTGCACTTTGCACTCGAGTTGCACATTATATTTTTTCCGACAGTTACGATATAACAAATAAATTGGTAAAGAAACGTAACATATTTTTACACAGAAGTGAACTTTTAATATAACATTTAATGTGAAGTAACAAATACAACAGTACAACAGCTGACCAGCTGATTTACAGCCAGTGCTGCCAACGTATTTCGTGCGCATAAGACTTTGTCTGCATGTTACACGCTCACTATTTCGTGCCTTCACGTTGCAAATCTGGAGTGAGACAAAGTAATTAGAGTGAGACAATGTTAACATTGTCTCACTGAGAGCGAATTGGCCACTTTGCTTTCTCAAATCAGTGAGAGAACATGTACATTGTTAGGTAACTGTAGGAAAAGTATTTTTACAAGTAAGGTATCTTAGTTTTTAGAATAAAGAGCAACTCAAACAATAATTAATTAGTTCCTCTCTTTAAATTAATAAAATATTTAAAATTTAACTGAGTAAAATTCGCTAAACTTAAGCACCATATTTTTTAGTGTTAACTACTTACCTCTATTCTCAATGTCGGTTTCCTTGATTTCTGAAAATAGGCCCTCTGCTTCTGTTTTTGTGTCAAATGCATTAAAATTTGTTGTGTTGCACAGTTTTTCCATTTTCTTAGCCTGTAAAAGATGAAAAATTTCTTTAGAAACTGATTAAAACATACAATTATTATAGTGTACACACAAATCATTAAGATATATTTGCCTAGCCTATTCAGTTGGTTAATTCAAACTTGTTCAATTATTGGACAAGTTGTTCTGAATCACTTTTATTAGTTTTCTATTCATCATTGTTAAACATTCATTACCATGGGGTATACCATACATACAGAAAACGTGTTGATTGATTTGGTTGAAGAAGAGTAACATCTTCTACGCATAAAAGATCACAGACTGCCATAAGTTAGTCGTGGTAGATCCTTTGATGAAAGGGGTCTAACAGTCCAGGGGACTGGTCAATCGAAAGTTGTTTCATGATCCTTGGGAACCTTTGTTTCTAAATTATTATTCAGTCTAGACCACAATTTGTTGTCTGAACTCCCTTACTTTGATTTCATAAATTTGTATAGGATTTTGGTGTGAGCCAAAAACAACATTCTTGTTTCGCAATTGTTTTCTTCAAAATTTATTTCAATTCTTGTTATCAAGTCTACGTGGTATAAGATTCCTTAGAACCAATTACTTACGATTGTAATGTCCTGTGGCATGAAATTAAAAGAGGAAAAATTAGTATTTTATATTTCAATTTTCAAGCAATGCACTAGCTGGTTAAATATAAAAAATCTTTTGATACAGTAAAATCTCACAAACTCAGCACCTGATAACTCCGCAGTTCGAATTTCTCGGCAATCTTATATACCATTTGTTCACATTCCCGGAACCCTATACTGGAGTTATTTCAATTTTGTGAGAGGCCCTGGAGGAGAACTGTTGAACTCGGTAGCATTAATAGTTACACAGAACATTGCCTGTGCCATTAGGACCTAGTGCTACTTGCATACTGGGACCAGTAACAGTCAGTCAACATGAGTTTGTTGGAAAAGGGTAAGTCAATCTTATATGATTTAATTCAAAAAAATTCAAGGTAAATTTGAAATTTACTATTTTATGTATCAGTTGTTGTTTTTTGTCCTTTTTTCTTATAATCTGACAGTTTGTAGGACGGTACTGTACAAAACTGAGACACTTTGATTTGACATCTCATAATTTAATCCTGCTACCAACAGATCAACAACTCACAAGATTTCTAATAACTTTACAAATACGTTTTTGTTTTACTAACAATACGTTACAGTATATTATGGGATAAACGCCAAACTACCTTGTTAAGAAGCTGTTTAGCCTTCTTGCTAAGGGTGTCGTCTATGGTGACTGGTAGGTTATGCAGAGTTTCACTGATGTTGGCATGTCGCTGCAGCAGCTGTCTCAACTCCGTAGCCGCATGCTCCGCTGACAACAGCTGTTCCCAGGGCGGGGCCAGTGCTCCGTCTACCAGGTGTCCAGCCCCGTAATCCAGCACCGCTTGTAGTTCGTCTACCTTGTCCAGCAGTAGGCCCGTGCATCCGTCGTCACAGGCTGCAAATGTTTAAAACTATAGCTTCTACTGCCACCTTGTACAGTACAACTTATTTACGTTAATTTGTCTTGAAAATACAGTAGTATTAAAAATATAGAATATTTCTTCTTCATATAGCTATTAAATCCAAGGCACCAAAAATTCAGCAATTTGTAATTTTCTTTAATTTAACTGGACTTTATGTGTCAGATTACTGGGAGATTACACTGTCTGTAGTAAAATACTTATATATTTTTATTTTACTGTGTATTACAATTTACAACCCAACAGTGAATAGGGATAGAATATGAGATATACAGAAAAAAAAGTAACACAGAAAGAGAAAGAGAAATTAGATTTTCAAAAGTTAGAGTAAAAGAATGCCAAATAGAGTTAAGACTAAGACTGATGATATCATAAGAGGAGCAATTGAAGACAACTTTTAAGAAGAAGACTAGAATGTCAGAGATGATTTCTAGGTAAACAAAAATTGATGGTTGTAAGAGAAGGTAACTGAGAGGAAGATTAAATTAAGTTGTATTGAAGTGAAGACATATATGGAGAAAAGAGTTGAGTGAAATGGCAGATGATGGGAAAGAGGAACTGAATCGGGATAGAAGAAGATGGATATAACCATGCAATATTCAGACCTAGTTTACAGTCAAGTCAAGTCAAGTCAATCATTTATTTTCACATAACGTTTTATAGATCCAGCATAGCTGGGAAACAGGTGAAATGGTCATGGACCATTAAAATACATACAACTATAATAACTATACAATATGCTAAGAAATCAAATATATACATCATTTAAAAAATCATCAACTTTGTAATACCCTTTATTAAGCAGCAATTTGGTAACTTCTTTTTTGTATTTTTCAAAAGATTCTAATGATTTAATATTATCAGAAAGTTTATTATACAGTTTTTTCCCTAGGTATTGTGGAAGGGTTTCTAGTGAGGTAAGTCTATGAATGGGCAGTTGTAAATCATTTCGATGTCGTGTTAAATAATTATGGTTATGGTTTTCATTCATAAAATATTCAAGATTTTTTTTAATAAATATTAATGTTTGCAGGATATAAACAGACGGAAGAGTTAATATTTTCAATTCTCTAAATAATAATTTACAGGATTGCCTAGGCTTTGAAAATGTCATAATTCTAAGGATCTTTTTTTGAATTTTGAAAATGGTTTCGGCATTTGAGCAGCTGCCCCAGAACTCTATTCCATACAACATGTTTGACACAAACAAAGCATAATAAACAATCATCCTTGTTCTGAGGTCAGTAACATGCTGCAGGACAGACATCTGGAAACAGACTGTATTTAGTTTATTAGCTAAAACTAATGTGTATTTATCCCAATTTAAAGTGTTTTGTACCTGAATACCTAGAAATTTTGTAGATGACGTTTCATTACAGGACAAACAAAAGAGATTGTATGTGATACACTTCACACTAGCAGTAATATCCATCACTCAGTTCAGCATTTCTTATCCCCTGGCCAAATCCATTATTATCTGCAATCAATTTCAAACCAAATATAAATATTGATGTAGACACTTACAAGCACAGCCTTGCTCGGTGAGTATGTGTCGCGCCTGACACTGAGAGCAGTCCCGCCCTGTGATGCCTGCACGGCAATTACACTGTCCTGTCTCCTCATGGCACTCGTCACTCACGCTGCCGTAGGGACTGCACTCGCACGGCACACACGACCCTCCTGGCACCCGTGGGTAGCCGTACCACCCGTACGCACACCTGCAAACACCACCAACACTCTAGGTTATTTTCGTGTTAGTGGAACAGAATTTGTGAGATTGTCATCGTATTTGCTCATGTCTCAACAATGGATAATTCATTCAAAATTGTACCATGGTTCTATTAATTTAATTAGCTGTTGAACATAACATAAATAAATAAAGTAATAGAAAATACACTAAATAAATAACCACCACAACGATTTTAATGTTTTTTACAGGGACTAAATGTGTTCCTCATTGAACTTACGCTATGGCAAATCAGTAATTTATGTAACTAAACCAGTTTGCTTTGTTCCAATCTTGCTTACGTATTGTCTGCTTCAGTAGCCCCACAGTTAGTATTGTTGTGTTGAAGAGGTGATCTCTTCAATACAATAATATGGTAATAATATAATACAATCAGCTAAACGATCAGTTATCTCAAAAACAACAATACAACCTTATGAAGATTATGGTTTTTTTGGAAAAATTACTTATATTAAGTATATATTAAGGAATAAGTTACCCCCTTGGAAGGCAGAATTTCAAATAGGATAATTGTGTTGTAAGATCTTTTGGATGTTTTCTACCGTTTGGCTATTTTTCTAATGTAAGTTAATAGTGTATTTGTTTATTATTCCTTACTAAAATATTAGGATGAAACAAGGTTATAGTATAACAACGGTAGTATAACAACCGATATAACCAAATAACCAATTGTAAAAGTGAATTGTATTTTTACCTGTCGCATAGTTTCCCTGTGTAGCCTGGCCGGCAGGCACAAAATGGTTCTTGTCCGGGCCGCACGTCACATCTGAAGGCAAAGTTCTGCTCCACTGCAGGACAAGGACACGGCCTACAACCCCCTAGCTCAGGGTTACCGTAGAATCCCTCAGCACAGTCCCCGCAGTGATGGCCACCTGTATTATCCGCACAGTCCTACCAACAAAACACATCACCATTAGGAGCTCCAGTTTCCTCTTGGCACTATGAACACAGCTCATCCATTTATAGAATATGTTAACTTTCAGCATTAAGTGCTCTTTCAGGGAGTCATAGCATATTTTTTATTGGGGTTCCACCTCCTTTATTTCTACCGATTTTTTTATAGAGCAAGATTTTTGCAAATTTTCATCCATCTTTTTAAATCGAGACCGAAGAACCGGTCTTGCCATTGCGATTTTTACTAATACTGTTTTATCAGATAAAAACTTTTGTGACATAGCCTTTGCTTCTAATCATGCATAGTTTTTTTCTGATGCTTTAGAACCTTTAGTTTTGAAACTTTGTAATCGGGTTTGGACTTTTTTGTCAAGTTTACATATTTCTAAGCTATATGGCAATAATTAATCATACATTACAGTCAAAAAGTGTAATAGATAGTACAAGAGTATGATCACTTAGCTCTGAATGGGTAAATATGTTCTCAATTTGAAAAGAAAAACATTTGCGCTCACCAATAAATCTATCAAAAACCTAGGCTAGTAAATGTTTTTTACTAAATGAATAATACTCATGCTCTAGCAAACAATTGATACAACTCACCAAACATCTGCCAGTCTCTATGTCGCACACAGACGAACGGTTGTTGCACTGACAAGGGCGAGACTCCCCGATGACCACGGACAACAAGCTGGTCTTGGTCTTGTTGTGGTAGCGGTAGAAGCCCCGAGCAGAGTTTTGGCAGGAGGTGGCGTTGTAGTGTGGTGGACAGTCGCACTGCTCGATGCCTCTGGCTCGCGGCAAACCTCCCCCGGGCGACAGTACTGCAGTGTCCAGGGTAACGTCTTGTAGCCTACAAGGTGAAATTGTGCATTATTTATATATCTATTTACGTTTCAAACAAAACTCATTAAACTTAAATACTCTTAAAGATTGGTCATGGTCATCAAGCTTTTTTAGCTTTAGTTTTGTTTTAAGTTTTTACCGAAGCTCTCAGCCTATAACAACTCTTTAAGTTCATTTTTGGTGAAAGTTTACTTCATTTGATTACTCGTATTGAAGACATTTTCTTTCAGGACAAGCAAAAGCTTTTCACAGCATTTCAGAATGTTGAATCTCAGTTTCACTTAAGCTAGCTACCATCTTGTGAAAAATGTCAGGTTTTTTAAACTTTTTTTTTATAAAACATTTTCAGCTATGACCCATCTTAGAATTCATTTGTTTTAATTCTTTGAATACATATTGGCCACTCAGAGAAAGGAGCAAAGTGCCCGAGCAGTAATAATAATCTTACGATAAATAGTCTTAACTTTTGATTTTTTTATGCCTTTAATGCATCTACAACAGCTAAAACCACATTAAACACAAATCTCTATTTAATTTGATATGGTTTTCATAGCATTATGCATTAAAACAAACCTGAACTAAAATACTTCATGTCTAGAAATACTCACGTTGCTCGCTTTAAATCAACCGAGTCTGTGGCTCTGATCAAGATGTGTTGTAGATTTTGTAAAGCCACCAACAACATGTCTCTACTAACTTTGCTCGTTGGGTTGTTTTTCATCCGCCAAAAATGTTCATGGAACCTATAATCAAACCATGTTTAAATGACAGCACTACACTCTGTGAGCGGTTATTGATGTTCAAAAATTGATTAAGGATGTTTCATATAGATGGGATATCTACTTCAGTATCCAAAAGTTACAAATCTAAAACCATTTTATGTAGCCTATCGTATAAACTAACTTGTTTAAACTTTGCTACAGACAACACAAATCATTCCAGAAATCTTCCTTGCTCACTAATGATTCCTAAAGACGATTCTAAAATTCAAAAATGTACGTTAAAAAAAATCTAAATATACTCTTGTAAAAGTTTCAACACAACACAACTTTTGAGACTCGTCAATGTACAACACACCTGACACTAAGGGTGGCCGAGGGGTTGAACTGCATGGGGTAGTGCTCCAGTATCAGTCTGTTGCCTTGCAGCTGTATGAGAGGGTAGGAGGATAACACTGCGGCTGGCAGCTGAGTGGTCCCTCCCTCTGTCTCTACTGTGAAGCGTAGATAGCCTCCGTACGACAGGATCTGTACACAAGCAGAGAACAGCATTGGAGAAAAGTAATTTCACTGACTATTACAACTAGACATTCATGCCCATGGCTCTAGCCAGTCTGAGTGGACATAATTGTTTAACTGAATGCCACCAACAGAGTGTTTTGATATAAATTAATCTTTTCTGTTGGGTATACAAACTTTTTAACCAAGCCAAATAAAAGGATTACTTAAGCTGTAAGCCTGCAAAAACGAGGCAGGAACCTCTGAACACTTCAAATTCAAATTCTTTATTAACTCATAACATCTTTTTTGTAACAACCAATCAAGATCACTTGTGGCTGGACCTTACGGCCTTGGCCCTAAAAAGGTTGAAATCTCTGGGAAAGCCGCTACTCGAACCTGATGAGATGAGAGGAATGGGCGTCTCACAGCTTCTAGGCTGTTACAAAATATCTTACGACTGTCAAACTGAGCTGAAGAGTGCTACAAAAGATGAACAGGTTAACAGCTAGCTATAGCTGGAAGTAGGATTACCCCAAACTCCCTTATACAAAAAAAATGAAACTACAGCATTTTAGTTTTCTCAAAGACGTTCGGAAAAATCCAATTTCTTATCATAAATTCTTGAGCCGTCAGTGTCTTTACCTTGTCTTGTAATTTTTGTACCATTTGTATAACCAATACAATCATTGCAAGGTAGTAGTTTTACCTTATCACCCAAAAAGTTGGAAGGCAGTTGCCAGTAGACGGGGGAGTCGAAGAGGTAACTAACTCCGATCTCCACGTCCCAAGCGTCCCCTGGGATGATCCTCAGGTTATTGGTAATGTTTAGCCGGCTCTCGTCTCCATTCAGACTCATTCCTTTCGATCCTGGCACTGCAAGCTGTGAACAGTTCTTTATACAGTCTTGACATAGGTAATCCATAAGCCAAAAGGTGAATGAGTTATCAAAGACATAATTGTTTTGATATTTTGTAAAACTTGAATTTTATCAAGACAATTGTGAAACTTGTTATTTCACCAGTTGTGACATGTAAGACAACAGTTAAGTCACTTTCCTCCAACTCAAGGTGACCAACAGGGATGACAATTATTTTAATTAATACCCTAGAATTTGAAGAGATGTGCCTAAAATACCAAATGCAAATGATAAAATTCCTTATCATATATTTATATACTTAAGTTTCCTCAAAACCTAAAGTACTCACACCTGAAGTATACACTCACATTTATGTAGCACACCTCCTGCGTGTTGACTGGGAAGGCGTTCTCGGTGCCGGTGGTGTTGTCATAAGTGACGGTCAGTGTACGAGGTCGAGGTGTCCGCACTTGTGTCCAGGTTGCTGCTGCTTCTCTGCATCGAGTCGTGCGGTTGAAACAGAAACACTGAACACAACCGTCCTGTTGTTCCTCCTGCAGGCCGAACGTTCCTATCTTGCACTCGTCACACTTCTTACCAGCTGCGTTGGCCTGCAAAGTGGATTTAGTAAATAAGTAAACCAGGGTGTATTCAGTAAATAAATTCCAAAAGCTCAACTTCAGCTTGACTCAATAAAAAATCTTAGACACCTATATAAAATACTGATCAAATTATTGTGATTAAATAAAGGGTTATTTACCAAAAAACATGCTACAGACAACCAAACTTGCCCACACAATACACCCACCTTGCATGGGCACTGTCCGTTGTCATCGCAGGAGCACACACCACCCGGGCAGTGCTGAGGCTTGGTGCCCGGACGGTGGCAGTCGCAAGGTCGACACCGTGGGAACCCATGGAAACCTCGAGCGCAACTGTCACACTGAGTGCCTGCGTAGCCCTCATGACAACGGCACTGGCCACTGCGTTCGTCACATTGAGCGCCTACTGAGCCACGGGGGTCACAATTGCATTGCTAAATAAAACAAATCAAATTCTTTTATTTTGTCAAAAAGGTAGGAAAATAGATTACAAAATGCAGAAAATAGTTCCAAGAAACTTAATTTAAACATAGCTGTTTTCTTAAGCAAAATTAAATCCTACATGGGAAGCACCGTGCGTGGGAGAGCATTCGTAATATTAGATATGATCGTAATAGTTTTTTTTTAAGCTTTATTTATGTCAAAGAAAATTTTCTGAACTTTAGCATCACAAAAAAGTTATTCTAGCTTTCATCCATATTTACATTAAAACTTGCGTGAAAGTGAGTGAATGTACGCTAAAATTTAATTTTAGTGACAGTATACATTAGACAGGGCAGAAAAGGGGTACCAACCTTGCAGCCCTTGTTGGACTGGTAGCCCCAGCAGTTAGGTTGGCAGTATTGACACTCAGGTCCCTGTGTATAGGGAGGACACACACATCGGCCGGTGTCAGGGTCACACACGTGACCAGGCTTGTTGCAAACCTCACATTCTGTAAAACATTTAAGTAACAAAAGTGAATATTTTCAGAAAACACAAAATGTTCTGGCCACGCCAATGCCGTCACAGCCATTTTCCTGCACATTCAATTGCTTGTACAAGTGCTGCCAACCTATGTATTTTCAAAATAAAATATTCCAAACAAAAAAGAGAATATCATTTGCATCATTGTCCTTAAAAATCACAATTTCACAAGATATGTCACTTAATTGGTTACACGTTAACAAAATAAAGTGATGTACTTTCAGAATTAGTCTGAAATTAATTGTCGAATTGTGGTTTTTCTCAACATCTAAAAATATGTACTTTTATAATTTCAATTTCACATAGTTCAGACTTTTTGTATGACAATGTGTCCAATATAAGGGAGTCTACAATGCGGTTATCTTTTTGCAATAAATTGTTTGAGAAACACTTTTGAATCCTAGTTAAGTAATCACTTAGTAAACAACTAACTACAAAAAAAACTAACATCGTAAGCTATAGAAAAGGATCCTCACTCTAAAAGTTTTTACTTGATAAAAGGTTTAAGCGCTTGTCTGCGCTTAAACCTTTTGCCATCAAAGCGAACAAGACAGTACACTAATCAAACAGCAAAATAACTGAGCACACGTGGCATAAACATAAACTTCAATTATTGTTGCTCACCTGAGCAGCCGTACACAGAGAGGCCGTAGAAGAGAGGCAGACAGTGATCACACTTGAGTCCTCCAACACCAGGTTTACAGAAGCACTGTCCCGTGGCCGCGTCACAAGAGGAGTTGAAAGATCCTAGCACATCACACTGGCAGGGAGAACAAAACCCAGTCTCATGTAGGCCCCACCATCCAGCCTGTGGTCGATACAGGAGTTAAAGGGGGAAATTTAGAAATATTATGTTTAGCAACAAACACAAATTCTGCGATTATTTCATCCTGGAGGGTTTCAAAACATTTAAGTTAATTCCAAGACATATCCAGGACAAAATTATTATTTTAAAAACAGACAGTAGAGGTGAACGAATAAAATTAATTCAAGCTTTTAACTAACCTGGAAAATCCAATTTATTTTGCCTTTCCATAATCCCCAATAAGCATTGGAGGCCATATGAAACCGAGACATCCGAAATTTAGAATCTATATAATATATTTTTGAGACTCGATTGCATTCTTGCTTGGACACAAACGGTTGCCGTATTTTTCACTAACAAACTAAGTTACGGAGGAAACAAAGTTGATATGTTCATTTAATATCTACCTATCTTTAATATTTTATCTTATCAACTTAATTTTTTACTGGAGGATAGTCATGTAGATAGTTTGATAACCAAAAATAATCAAAAAGTTATTCAGACTATCCTATATGCTAAACTTATGTTTCAGAGATGACTGCATTGATAAGATCTCAAACAAGCAATGTCTAGCTCATCAGCCCAAGACTTAACCACTGAGCTACCATGTTCGCTAACTCATATTTTCACTCTTCTTTGTTCACATTGACATAATGTCATGTACTTAGATGGAAAAATTAATCAAAACTGACCTGACAAGTGTCACAGGCTCGACCCGCGACGTTGGCCTTGCACAGACACTGACCTGTGTCTATGTCACAGTCTGGACTCTCCGAGCCTAAACTGTTGCATCCACAACCTGGCAATATATACAAAAGTATTGGTTACTGTAATATTTGTATTCTGCATCATTAGATAGAACTGATGAGATACCATAACAAAAAAAAATTCACTTCAAGCAAGGAAAACTAATCTGTTCTCAGTCAACTAATCAAAAATCAAGTGAAGAAGACTAAACATAGGATAAGCTGCATAAACAATAACTTTTAGATATACTAATTTATGATGAATTATCTGGCAAAAATTAATATACCCCCGCCGCAGCAAACCTGCAGACTAAGCGAATTTCCATTTGACTGATTGGATTTACACTGAAATGTCTACTTTAAAATATAACATTTATTCTTCATTTAAATAGAATTAGTTTAACAAGTACTTAGGTTTGCTGCATCAGGGAGGGTAAAACTTTTTTTGTAAAATGTGAATTGTAAGTAAGAAATAAAAACATTTTCCAAATTTGATCAAAATATGTTCACAAACAAGCAAACTACAACAGTTTACTTATTCTCCATAAGAATAACATGGGAATTTTTAATTTACAATTTTTTGGAATTTTCTCCGTAACCATTAGGCGCATAATAACGCTTCAATATACCAAATTATTTGTTTTTTGAAGCTCTACAAAATGGTTTGGAAAGAAATTGCTAAATTTTATGTTTTTTGGGTCAAAAATGGGAAAAACCTATTTTTACCCCATAAAACCCCCCGTAAACCCCCGTTCCCATAGTCCGATCATGCTGGATCGCGAACTCGTTCGAATAAACGTACGTTTACACGTTTGTACCAAATTTCATCAAAATCGGATCATTTTTGCTCGAGTTATCGTGCTGACGGACACACACATATATATATATATATATATATATATATATATATATATATAGTTTGATTGAGCCGACGTTAAGTCCTCATTCTAGCATGAGGACGACGATAAGTGCTCGATAGTGAGGACCTGCGGTGAGTACTTAACGTTCCTTCATGCCGACGTTAGGTACTCCCCCCACCACACTTCCCTAGTCTCGCTTGCGTTAGGTCCTCACGCCACCCAAGTCCTCATTTCTAACATGTGTAGCAGATCGTGGGAATAATCCCTCCAATGTGATACGTACACAAAGTGAAAAATACCCGTTTGGTTGTAGCTTTCTCAAGTCCTAGTTTACCTTTTTTGAATAATCAGTGTATGCATCTTAATGCAAACTTAACCGAATAATTAGCTGTCCTTAATACGTGAACCATTATTAAATTTTAAATGTATTTTAAATTAATTACAGTAGTTGCAAGCCAGAAAAGCTTTGTTTTAACGATTATTTACTTTCACGTCCAGCCAGAAATGCTTATTCAATGTATTAACTTCAAACTAATTAACAAGTGGTTGGCTACCTATATAAAATAATGTTAAAATAATTTTAGATTTTTAGATTTTTTAATGCTGTATTATTGTTTATAATGAAAAGTTGATACCCACGTAGTGTGCTTGAAGTTTAACCGTTTTGCCGTATCTCAAGCCGTTTTCGAGATATAAGCATTTGAAAACAATAAAGCTGTGCCGCACCGGCAGCGCCTGGAGTTTGTAACCTTTGCACCTATTTAAGAGTCAACAGTGACACTATATTACAACGCACTGATATAAAAATGAAACTGTTTAGTTTATTGGTTGAGGTCTGAGTTTTCAGTCGTCCGAGTTTGCTAAAAATTACAAAATATTAGGAAAATCAGTTGTCCGAGGTTCATTTGTACAAGGTTTAATAAATAACTAATAATACTTCAATAAATAAACTGTCCAAGTTTTCATTTGTCCAAGAATGGTTTAAATTGGAATGACAGTATTTGGTTAAATCAACTGTCCGAGCTTTCATTTGTCAGAGGTTTTAAAAGAGTTTAAAATAATGTTGAAATATCATTTGTCCGAGTTTTTAACAGTCCGAGTATCATTAGTGCCAAAAGTGACTCCACCGCCGAGGCGCTAGTACAGTCCGCGCAAGAAGTAATCAGACCAACAACGTCATTTAATTACACAGACATACGCCTTTTAATGACATACATTCATAGTAAACATTCAGAGAAACAAAAATCTCTCAAAATTGGGTCGTTGAAGGTTCGTTATTTTATTTCCAAGTAACCATGTTTTAATAGACACTTTCACCAACCCATTGAATAAGGGAAAATTATTTAAATCTTGATGGGTACTCTAGTTTTCTCGGAGTAGGCCGCGTAAATTGGCATTTTGGCGTTATAGACACAATAATAGACAGACAAACAAACAAACAGACAGAAAACGAAATAAATAAGTGTAGTTTTGGATATCTTAAGATGTGAATCTTAAAAATAACAAAAAACTTCATGACTCTACGCAATAAACAGACAAAATAGTATATTTTGTCACTAGGGCCTTAAGTGACTCTTTTTGACCAAAGGTAACGTTTTACAATCAAGGCGAAGCTGAGGTCGGAAAATGAGCAAGGGTTAAACAGTCACTTTTTGCCCGTGTGATTAACTAAATTTTCTTCATATTGTATCAATTAACAAAAACAAAGCTAGAAAACTAAATAATTTGTATTTAATGATAACCTCTCAAAACGACTTACGACTTCCAGCTTGTTTCCAATTCTGCTTATGCAAATAAGCAGCTGTTTGGTAAGTAGTTCAATTATTTAGTCTATTACGATTGTGTTATTATACCATCGATATGTCGAGCAATCGTCAACAACAGACTAAAGCCCTAAATCAATCGATAAATAATTTCGATCAATACGATTTCGATCAATCGAAATTTACTACAATTTACAACAGCTGATTTCTCCCTAGAAAGTAAAAATGCTACTTTAAACCCACAATGCATGCATTAAAAACTGCTATTTTTGCTGTATTATGACGAAAATGTGACTTTATTTGTTTAGATGCCCAGCTGTCTTATTTGCATTTCCACTAGCATCATTTATTTGCCTAGCAAATAAATGGATAACCGCTTCTTTTAAAACATAATTAGCAACTGACGAATAAAAATGAAGAATTCGAAACTAAACTAGAGTTTTGTTTTGAAAGATTGCCAAGTATGTACACCTATTGAATTTTGTTTTCACCTTAAGGAATGTCAACGGCCAAATCGCGTGAAAAGGAAATTTAAAAGGAAATGTAAAACTAATTCATTTCAAACGAAAACCGGATGGCCTATAGTGTGTCCATGAATTTTACGAATGTCTTTATATAGTAACGATAAATTTTACGTTTTTAATAATTATACAATAATGACAATAATCAGCCACAAAGTTACGTTTGTTATATTTTGAGGTCGCCATGTCACACATTTTGTGTTTGAGGTAAATTACAATGATATATCCGTGATCATGAGAGATGATAACGACGTTGCCGTAATCGTGGGAGAAGACCACGACGTTGCTGTGGTCGTTTGAGACAACTACGATGTTGCCATGATCGCAGGAGATAGCAATCTACTTATGACGAGTTGACTGTAGATATATCACGGAATGATTGGGTACTATGTATAACTGGAGCGTGTGCTTCCGCTATCTCCGCGTTCCACCACCTCCGAACCCAAATCTGTCCCGCCACCTCCGAATTCTTGAGTGACCCTTATAATCCCGTCACTGCCTGCGTTGGTAGCTGTCATTGCATCCACGGCTGCGAAGCCCCGGGGATGGGAGATTTAATGAAAATTTATCCCGTGGGTTAGGTTAGGTTGGGTTGGGTTGGGTTAGGTTAGGTTAGGTTAGATTATGTTAGGTTAGGTTAGGTTAGGACGGAAAGTCTTAATGCAGGTAGTAACCAAGGATTATAGGGGTTACTCTGAAATTCGGAGATGGCGGGACACGGAGGTGGCGGGACGCGGAGATAGCGGGAGGTAACCAACAGATCAATTTACTAATTTTCCTTTGAACTTGTGACATAACACTCTGCTATCCGGTAGCAGCAAACAATTCTTTCTTTGCCATTTACGTATGCATATATGCTAAGGGTTGGTAGCTTTTTATGGTTCGAAAGTGAGCTCAACTGTCCTGGTCATTAGTCTTTAAATACACGATCCTGACTTATGAGACAGCTGATCTTAGACTGGCACAAAACTACACAGATCATCTCACAACATTCTAAACTCATACTTCACTCATATTTTAAGTGCGCACCTAGATGGGAAATAATGTTCCTAAATAAACAATAAAGTACTCGAAAAGGTACCAGGTTGGGAAGGGGGTTTACTGATGATTGAGTTATTTGATTGATTTATTTATTTAGTTATTAATGATTTAGTTATTTGTGACGATTTTTCACAATATTACACTTCCTTGATGAGTAAAAATATAACTGTATAAAATATAGCTTTGGTGCAAATTTTTTCAAGGGGTACGAAACATACACAAAATACATTACAAAAGTAACGCTTAAACATCCGAAGCTTACGTATCCCATTCACAAACCTTCTAAATACTTTGACGCCACGACAGTTGTTATGTAATGACAAACTGTGTACATCTTCTTAACCAACGTGCAATAGTTATTTGTGTAACTAGTGTGCGACGTAGCGCACTATGCAGCAAAGGCAATTTACATTCGCGTTACTTTTCCTACAGTTACTATGAAGCATATCTATTGTCAAGTATCCTTATGAGGGGGTTGGTAGCTCAGAACTCAAAGAACGAAACCGTTGATCTCCAAACAAATTTATATTCTCAAAACTACAAAACCCGGTGTCACACAGTCCTAAGGTCCCTAACTATTAAAACAATACAATATGAAACCCTACTATCCCTGCTACTAGCAGCCGTAACAAGTAGCACTCTCTACTTGTCTCCGCCGTTGACCCTTGACTCCGACACCATTGACCACTACAGTGCAACTCGTGGTGTACTCGGGCGTTGTCCACTGTCCAGCCGCAGAGTATGGGGAATATGGGCCTGAACGTCACACTATACATTTAATAAGAAACCTAAATATTGTGATAATTGTTTTGAAGCTGTCATGTAACCAATCACCATGTTCAAGGTTTCGTAGGTCATGGCACGTAGA